AGCAGAGATGATCATTCGTTTAGCGAATGGATCTAGAATGATATGCCAAAGTCAGCCATTCGCTTGTCAGTGAAGGTTGGAGATTTTCGCGGTGAAGACGAGTTTATCATACTCGACCTCGATGATAAGTTTGATATCATCCTAGGCATGTCATGGTTGAAGCGTCATCAGCCTAGCATTGACTGGATAAATATGAAGATCCTCGTCAACAAGTCGTGTAGCGCTAATTCGAGCTGCACGACGACGAACGAAACAGTATGGACATATCCAAATGTTGTGAGAAGTCACAGATGTTTCAAATGATATTGTGGTGTGCGATGTCCCCCATGTTCACAAGACAAATCCAAGAAGATGAAAGGAAAGACGCCAGCTGGAGGTGGAGCAGTCAGGCGCCAGAAAAAGACTATCTCCTTTGCTATCGGCATGGAAGTCATGGTCGATGGCAGTATGAAGAATAGTGGGATCAGAGGCAAAGACCCATCCCTAGAAAAGAAAAGTAGGCCACCATGAAGAGTTTCCCGTCAATTATTTTGCGTGCTCCTGATGAAGGTACAAGCTGTATTGATGAAGAGAGTGTTCGAGAACAAGACACTTCAAGCGAGCTTATGAATGCTGTAGTCTACAATTAAGAAGTGACGTCGATGTTATCCGTCACATGAAGATTGAAAATCCTTCAGGTTCAGTCAAAGAATTCCTTGCCATTGATGAGCAAAATGACGCTGTAGCGTATCCTGTAGAAAGACGAAATTTCGCAAATATGTGAGAATGTCGAAGAACTGATCGACGATAACATCAATACTGCGGAGATATCTGATGAGAAGACACAGAAGGAAAACTTTGATGAGCAGTCGTGGGACGCTCTAAGGACTAACCCCGTGTATGGACTTGTCAAGGCATATGCTGTTTTGTTATCAGACAAGGTGCCCGACGAACCGCCATCTGACAGAAGCATTCGTCATGAGATTGACATACTTCCTGGTACGAAGTATTGTATCACATGGCAGTGGCCGTTGCCAAAAGAACAAGTCATTGCGATTGACGATTTTGTGCGCAGCGACAGAAGACTTTTCATGTGCGTGAGAGTAAGTCTCCGCATTGTCGTCCAACCTTCTGTGTAGAGAAAGCCACAGGTGGTTGGCGCATTGTTCACGCTTTCAATAAACAGAACGATGCGACCATACCTGGCCAGACTCCTGTTCCCTGCAAAGATATGATTCTTGATGGAATGGTTGGCAGTACTATTTTCAGTGCGATCGATCTGAAAGATCGTTTTTAAAAGATACGAACGCGCGAAAGTGATACACCATTAACTGTAGTCAGTACCCCCAGTGGTATGCAAAATATGGTAAGTGATGCCACAAGTTTTGAAGAATGCTCCCGCGTTTATAAATAGAATGGTCACAGATCTTCTTCGTCCATTGAGAGTGTTTGCACGGAGATATATTCGTTTATAGTGAAAAAACGGGTGAGAAGTCAAATATCGGTGCTCATCTTGGTCACCTTCGTCAGGCCTTCCAAGTTATGCTAGAGAATAAATTCTACGCTAATCTGATAGAATGCATTTTCTTTGCACCAGAGATCCCCGTTCTCGGCTGCTTTGTGGGCAAGAATGGCTTTCGTGTAAATCCTGAGAAAGTAGATGTTATCGATGATTGGCTTGTTCCAAACAATGTGAAACAGCTAAGACAATGTCGGCCATTATCTCAGTGGCCAACTATTTGTTCAAATACACGCGCAATTATGCAGCGTTGGTGCAACCCCTAACGACTCTCATAAAGAAGAACGTTGAGAGGGAATGGTCAACAGATCGCCAAGCGGTATTTGCCGAAGTGAAGAAGACCTTGAGAAAAGCTCCTGTGCTTGTGGTTGCAAACCACGAAAAGCTTTTTCATGTGGTCTGCGATATGAGTGATTAAGCTATCGGCTGTGTGTTGATGCATCACGATGCTGATGGTCGAGAGCGAGTTGTTTCGTATCAGTCGCGGCAACTCCGGCCCGCGGAACGAAACTATTCAGTTCATGACAAAGAGGTTCTAGCAATGAAGTATACTTTGCTTAAATTCCGTATGAGCTTGCTTGGAGAGGAGCGCTTTGCGATCTATACAGATCATGCCTCACTGCGTATGGCAGTAAAGATATCGCAAAGAACGGCTGGATGGGTTTTGTTCTTTGCGGAGCACAACTTTGTTGTACACGACAAGCCAGGCAAGACGAACATCGTAGCCGATGCGCTGTCGAGAAGTCTGGACTTTGATCCAAAGTCCAGTAGCGGGAACATACACGAGTCATGTCGACAATGTGAAGATGTTCAGAAGATCAGAGTGCAAGCTCCAGTGCGCGAAGAAATTGTCGAAGGGTACAAGTCTGATGATACATGTCAGGACTTGTTGATGTATTTCAATAATCCTTCCGACTAAGCACTGCAAGGTCTTCCGTCTCGCACAAGATCGCGTGCTCACCGTTTTGGATTACACAACGGATTGCGGTACTATGCGGGTGAACACGGAGTTACAGCACGAGTTGTTGATCCAAATGACGAAGGTTTGCGTCAGCGTCTCTTATAGGAGTACCATGACAGCCCTTCTGGTGGCCATCTCGGATGTGAGAAAACGTTTGTAAGTCTTTCCCGGAATCACTATTGGCCACACATGTTAAGGGGTGCGCAAGTATGTGAGAACTTGTGAGATTTGCCAGAGAGTGAGACCATCGGGCTCAACTCAAGCCCCAATTCGGTGGTTGGCAGTGCCAACTGACATTTTAAAGTCTGTGAGTATGGACTTCATTTTCGGACTTCCGCGTGACACACATGAACGCAGTGGCATCCTTGTATTAGTGGACCGATCCAGCAAGATGGTTCACCTTGCGCTTGTTTCGGACAAAATCTATGCCGAGAAGACAGCTAAGGTCTTTGTAGACGTTTTTTTCCGTCTGCATGACCTTCCTGTTAAGCTCGTGTCTGATCCTGAGACCCGTTTTACGTCGAACAGTGGTGTGCACTGTTGGACTATTGGACACCAAATTGTCCATGTCTACAGCGCACACCATGAAACGGACGGTCAAAGAGAGCGTGTGAATCGAGTCCTGAAAGACGTACTGCGTAGTTACGCTTCGTCGCTCAAAGAGTGGAGTGATTTTTTTCATCTAGCAGAGTTTGCATTGAACAACTGTACGCATGTCTCGACAGGTCATTCGCCATTTTATGTAAACTATGGTATTCACCCTAGAGTACCTGCATCCATAATGGGCGAGGTCTCTTCCTTAAGTGGGGGGGTCCTATGGCTATAGAGCCACAGTCAGACCTAAATGCTGTCACAGAGCTAAAATCCAATTTTGACTGAATGATACCTCTAGACGAAATGACGGTCGTGAGGAACAGCACATCGATGACTTTATTGCGAGGAGATAAGCCGTTGTTGATTTTATTCGAGACGCAATTGCGAAAGCTCAGGATCTGCAAGAAAAATAAGCACATAAGAGCGAAAGGAAGAACAAGGCGATATATATGGTATACGATCTTTCCACGACAAATCTGCCTAAACATGCAGTGTCCAACTTTAGAAGTAGGAAGCTTTTACCGAGATTCATTGGACCATTCAAGGTGATGAAATGCAATGGTGATGCGTATACATTAGCCATCCCTACACACATGCGCCTAAATCCAACGCTTCATGTGGGTAGGCTAAAGTTGTATCTTCCAAATGCATCTGCCTATCCA